TTCAAATTTCAGCCGTAGGTGAACGTTAAAGCGAACGTTTGAACCCTTTGTGATGCGGTATCGTGGGTACGTGACGCTATATGATAGAAGTGCTCGATGGTTGGCCAAAAAGGAATATCGTGGCTGCTACCAAACAGATGCAGTACCACAACCAAACAGATATCTAGTACAAGCTTCACAGTAAGTTCATATATCGTACAGTTGTCGTCGGGTCGATAGCGTTTCGCTCTGGTTCTTTTAGTAACATACAGTTCAAATTTAAAGCCCGCGATTATTAGTACCTCAGTACTGAGCGTAGTCAGCCATTCAAAATCGTTTATCTGCACTGGATTTCAGCAAACCACCATGCCAGCTACACGCAAAGTTGTGCCTCGCAAGCCCGCTCAGTTATCCAATGAAGATTCAGAGCCAGAATCTCTTCACAGCGACGCGCTCGACGACCTGCCGCCCAAGAAACGCGCGCGTTCTTCCAATTCCAAGTCCAGCTCACCTTCGAAACCCAAGCCCAAGCGTCAGAAACGCAAAGCCAAGGAAGATGATATCAAAGATGAAGAGGATGTAGATGATAGCGATGTAGACCTGAAGGAGGGGCAGCAAGTCGTAGGTCGCGTTGTGCAAGCTCCAAAGACAGGCTGGGGTAAGTCGGTCTTTTCCTGCCTCAGGGATGAGTTATTAACTTACCAGTTTTAAAGTACCTCCCGGTCAGGTTTCACAGAACACGCTTGATTTTCTAGCGAAACTCAAAGACCCTGCGTGTAATGACCGTGAATGGTTTGCACTTCTATCATGGCCCTCGTTCATCCATTGTTGACTGAAAATCATTACGCGCTCCTAGGTTTAAGCTACACGGTATGCAGGGTCTATGCATTAGGCTGAAGCTCTGAGCTTATTTGTCAAACAGAACCAGTTTACCGTCGCGTAGAAAAGGAGTTCAAGGCGTTTATCGAGGCGTTCACCGACATGCTCACAGACGTTGACTCTGAGATCCCTCCGTTACCCCCTAAAGACGTCACCCATCGCATATATAGAGATGTTTGTCCCTTACATGTTTCCTTCCGTGGATCTGCGGATCTGATGTCGTGTGCGTAGGTCCGCTTCAGCAACGATAAAACACCATACAAGATGGGACTATCTGCGAGTTTTTCGAGGAGTGGCAGGAAGGGGATTTTTGCGTTTTGTGAGTTTCGCAGCATTTTGCTTTCGCTGCAGATATCTAACTGTTCGTAGATCACGTGTACGCACCTCTTAGCATGAGAGTCGGACAAGCTGACTGGATATATGCACGTTGTTTGCTCACAGAATGAGTCAGTCGCAGTTGGAAATACTGGATCGGTATACGCTAACATGAATGACAATTAGTCAAGCCGGGTGACGAGAGCGTCATCGCTGCAGGTGCATGGTGCCCTGGGAAGAACGAACTCTCGACTCTCAGGTATGTCTCGTCTCCACTTTTTTTCCATGCTTCTTTTCATACTTTCCGTTACCTAACAGAAATCACCTACTTCGTTCCACACCCGCCGCTAAGACTCTGCACACAATCCTGGCTTCTGAAGCATTTACTACCCATTTCGGCGCTCCCTCTCCACACCCGAATGGAGATCGTCGGAGTGTATTTGGGCGTGAAGATGAATTGAAGGTGGCACCGAAGGGCGTGGATAAGAATCACAAGTGCGTGGAGTATCATTCGAGTCATAAAAGCTAATTGGTATACTATGCTACGCATTTTCTAGAGATATAGCCCTCCTCAAATGTCGCTCTCTCGCTGTTTCCTATCGGTTCACAGATGCACAAGTCGTTGCACCTGGATCCGAGTTTATAGATGCGCTACGTGGGGTTGCGGATGTGATGACGCCATTTGTCCATTGGTGAGTGCTGTTACCTACCGTTTCTGAATCAGAGGCGCCATTCGCACCGAGTGCTCCATTCTGAGTGTTACTTTCGGAGTACATGGACTGATCATTTGCTGTAGTTTGAATGATATGATGACGCTTCCTGTGGACGACAGTTCTGATGAAGAGAACGAGGAAGATGATACTGGGGATCCGGAGGAAGATGAGTGAGGACGGAGATGTATAACGAACGGGAAGCTTGGATTCATTTACTACAGCTGTTCAAATATTATCGGTGTTAATTTTCTCAGGTATCTTACTACTGTCATTTAGTATACACGATGTAATCTATTTGGTTTGGCATATGCACGATGGTGATTGTGTCTACCTCATCACTCACAATTTGGGGCTGACCTTTGTCAGATAAATAGTTCACTCCCGTATGGGTCCGGGCCAAGAGTCTTGCGAGGAAAGTTGAACGGACTACTCGCCGGACTTTCTGTTTCTTGCACCCCGCCGAGCGGACTGTCAAATCAGCCAATGTGACCATTCTGTGACGAGATGTACGAACAGGTGATGGAGCCAATAACTTATAAGTAGCTGGTTCACTTATTCAGGTGCTATGTCATCACGCAATGCCAGGTACCGTCTCACTCCAACCCACTGCAATCCCAATTATCGACTTTGCATGCTTCGGGGATGGTACTTCCCCAGTACGTACAGTGTCCACAATGCACATGCGATGATAATAACTGAAGCTCCCTTTTTGACGTGCAGGAAGCGACAGAGATAGGAAGGCAGCTAGTGAAAGCGTGTCGAGAAGTCGGATTTGCATACTTTCGCAACACTGGTATCCCTCAGGTGGAGGTGGATTGCACGTTTGAATGGGTGTGTACATCTCACCGCATGTGCGAGATTCACCCCAATGAATGAGTGGGCATTAAGAGCAGCAGGTTATTCTCGCTTCCAATCGAAACAAAACTATTGGCTCCGCATCCTAAAGAGGGATGGAAACACCGGGGATATAGCGGGGTATGTTGTTCTGCGTTACATGGCAACATGTCCTAACGAATGTCTCATTCAGGTTGGTAGGGAGCAAATTTCACAAATGGTACATTACAGCGTCATCCAAACTACCAATATCCTGACTCGCGTAGGTGTTCGACCCAACACAGCTCGCCGAGATACGGAAACAAACTCCTGATCACAAAGAATCATTTGATATTGGACGCAATGATTGCCCACACATGTCCAATGTGTGGCTCCCGGAGGAAGTCCTTCCGGGCTTCAAAGACGCAGCATCTGCTTTCTTTGATACATGCCGTCGCTTTGAGTTCGAGAAGTTGTTACCTGCATTATCACTAGGACTCGAGCTCCCTGGCGGAGGCAAATTCCTGGAAAAATACCACCAACAAGCAGAGAATCAACTGCGATTATTGCATTATCCAGCTGTGCCTGCAGAGGTATTCGCGCGTGGTGATAAAGGGAGAATCGGTGCACACACGGTATGCGATTATTTGACCGGCATTGATTTCACCTATAATGAACGATAGGACTATGCAATGGGCACGATTTTGTTTCAAGATGATGTTGGGGGACTTGAAGTTGAGAGCCCTCATGGTTCAGGAAACTTCGTTGCTGTGTCACCTATTCCGGGCACTGTTATTTTCAATATAGGAGACTTTTTGATGCGGTGGTCAAACGGTACGATTCTCTTGAGCGGCTACTCTTCACCACAAGGCTATATAATCTGTTTGAATCAGATACTCTTAAATCAACATTGCACCGCGTGCGTGCGCCCCCGAATGATGGAAAGTTGGAAATGATCAAGGAGCGCTTCTCGATCCCATATGTGAGCTTCCTGCAGACATATGATGTGTGTTTGATATTGATATTGGATTAGTTTATGTCTTCTGACAGAGATATTTTGATTGACTGCCTCCCTGGCTGTTGGGACGAAGACAGGCCGAAGAAGTACGAGCCTGTGACAGCAGGAGCGTATATTGACATGCGGCTTGATGCTACGTATTAATGATTTACGAACATGGAATGATTCTGTCTGAATGTTGAATGGATGGTGAAGGTCTTTCCTGGACCTTTTACTTCTTGTTCCGATTTCACCATAACGTCTGTACCTTCTGATGATGCCATTCGTTGGTCATCTCGGTTATGATTTCAAAATGCTGGTGCGCTGCAACAAACCAATTTGCTCTGCCACGTTAATATCATCGAAATCATTTAGATATTCATATCACCTACCGATACATGGGCGCACTACTCCCCAGACCCCAATTTAATTGGCTACACTACTGCGCATTGCATATAGCGGGAGCCTTATCAGTTTGTGAAATAGGTGGGCTTTACAAGATGAAACATTTATATTGAGATAGTACTACCTTGTACTCGAAAATACCAAAGCCACCGTCGCAAATGTAGCAGTGGTATTTCCAACCAAATCGCGCACCAGTGGCATATCGCGAGCATCCGATCGGCTGCCGGCAGCTCAAATCTGGGGTTTTCATTTTGTTTCGCGAACAAGCAGGGGAATCGTATCACGTACATTTCTATGACACCCGAGGAACAGATGGTGAAGAATTTTCAAGCACTTGACCCAAAAACGGAACACGGAGGCATCCCAAATGAGTTACAAAGAGAGGAACGCCGGGGTACTACTACTCATCGCCTTGAAGCTTGAAGGCCGGATCGCGACGAGAGTAAGTGAATTATAAGCATACATCTACGAGCTTTTCCTGGAGGGGAACACGACTCGGAAGTATGATTTTGAAGTAAAAAAAAATAGCGGCAGGGCCAGGAGAGAATGATAAAACGAATGTGACCAACCATAAGTTGATAGCTATAAAACTAATTACGTATGCTTCCCCGTAAAGGACCATGTCATCAGCCCGCAGTACATCTAAAAGAGTCGAGTTACCGACAACGAGTTCGAAAGTTGTTCTGAACAACTCGGATTGGGTATAGCTCAGGGCATGCGTTCGTAAATGTCGTTTTGGCTCAACCGAGAGAAAAGTACCGCTCTGGGACTGCCGTTGTAGTAAAATGTTAGTTTTTTGAATCGGACACGATACAAATATGTAAAATAGCATCGAAATTTTCACAAGTGAGATACAACTATTAGCTAATGTGAATATATTATCGGTATACATGATGTATCTATTCAAAATCAAAATCAGATAGTTCGTCGTTGGCTTGCTGTTGCGAGCGCCCGCAAACGACGATGCTGTCTGTGAAGTCGTCTAAAATAACCTTTTCAGCGTCACTTAGCTGATCCAGGCCCAGAACAATCTTTGTGAATGTCGAATGCGTCATCTGGGGGGTAATCCTACCCTTTGTAAGTTGTATCAAGCCCTGCTCCATCAATGCAGACTCTGTAATGGCGCCGGCTGCGCCAATAGCATAACGTATTTGACGGCGTGGGCATTCGTCGAGAAAAGTGTGGAGCCGGAAGGGCGAACACCAGATGAGTTTCGTTAGGACATGAAGGATGAATGGGTTGGTGAATTTCGAGTGAATGACAAGCGCACTGTCCTGTCGAAATAGATTAAAAAAATGTTCTTGAAAATGAATAAAGACTTACTGCAAAAGTGTATTGATGCATGAACGCTAAGTCGTTATCTACGACGAGGCAGCGTATCCGATCGACACGAAAAGTATCTGGGGGGATAGTACAGCCCTGTGGTGGGAAGAGGGAATATCCCATCACGACAGCTTGTCGGATGATCGTTGCGAATGCAGTGCGAAATTTCGTCACTGCGCACCAAACGTTCGCGATGTCCTTTTCGTTAGCCGTCCATTGTGTTGCAACTAGTAGGATCAAATAGTTAGTATAAGTCAGTGTTCGCGTGTTAATTCATACCGAGAAGGGCTGGTATTCTAGATCTTACTTCGGAAATGACCTTTTTGACGATGCGCTTTTTGTCAGCCGCGAGAGATACCAGTGCGTCGTCGGAAAAGACGATGGATAATATGCGTTCCTTTGAGGCCGAGATCGCTTGTTTGCGCGTCTCGGGACTAATGTCAACGGCGGAACCTTCGATGGATTCCGGAGGTGCGACAGTCCCCGTCATCGTTGTGGGCGTCACAACAGGAATGACAAGGCGTGGTGTGGGGGGCAGACGTCGAGTTGCACGACGACGTGCTTTCGATGTCCTTGCAGGCCCTGTAGTCTAGTAATGTCAGGTCAATTTTCGATGATGCAGATACTAACATTGACTTACATGTATCACATGGGAGTTGGGGATCTCTCCCGTCGACATTGGCCGTAAGTGGTGGAGATCCGGTGGCAGGACTGAATGAGTCTGAAATTCCTCATCATCGCCGACCCAACTGGGCGCTATGGTGGAAGGGTAAGTGCTAGACATATGTTATGAGCGCAGGCAGACTTACCTAATGACGGAGCAACATATCCGGTCGAGGATCCAGTGCCAGACGCAAAGTCCTGCTGAGGATACGCAAAGTCCTGCTGAGGATACGCGAAGTCCTGCTGAGGATACGCGAAGTCCTGCTGAGGAGGCGCAAAGTCCTGCTGAGGAGGCGCAAAGTCCTGCTGAGGAGGCGTGAAGTCCTGCTGAGGAGGCGCGAAGTCCTGATGCTGATAGTGCACGAGATCTTCATGCTGGTAAGCTGGCTCGCGCTGGTAGGGAGCGGACTGATGCTGATGCTGGGCGAAATCCTGATGATGATGTGCGAGATCTTCTTGCTGATGCTGGGCGAAGTCTTCATGCTGATCGTAAGTAGACTCACGCTGGTGGGGAGCGGACGTGTGCTGATGGTGCGCGGAGTCCTGTGGATGGTGCGGATGGTGGGTAGTGTGAGGATTGAATGGCAGCGGCTGATTTGAGGCGTGAGGGTTAAAAAAAGACATCGGTTCGCGCGGTTGCTCATCGACGAGATTCAATTGACTGTCCGCGGGAGCATGAGATGGGTTGAGGCCCGAACCACGAGCAGGTTTCGCAAAGTTAGTCTTACCTTTGCAGGGCGGTGCACGTTTGCTGGCCATAAAGTAGAGGGAGTTGAGGATGCATGGGCGCAGAGAGCAGTCCAATTTGAATTCTACGAGAAGCGACTGTACACAAACAACACCCAAATAAACTACACGTCTTGTGACATGGGGCTGCGAACAGGATAAGGGTTAAAATGAAGGGGCACAATGTAAAAAGAACAGCTGCAGATGTGAAAAATGAATACAAATGAGAAAGGGGCCATGATGGATTTGCTGAACTGTAGCATGCATGTTACAATGCGTTCTTATCGATTGATCAGTCGAGCGCATAATGACCGGACACGTGTATACATACCTCAATTGGAAGCGCAGGGCTCATACAAATAACGGTGTACGGGAAGGGTGTGCGGACTGTGCTGCCGAATTGACCGAAACCTGTGAGTTATCTTCCTGATCTGCGGATACCAGATTATCTCTAATCGAAACCCCAGGCTCAGGCGATGGTGATCCCGATCCTTTGGCTCCAGGTTGCAAGAAATCCTTCTTGACACGTGCACCTAAGATCTTTGAGAACTGCTCAGCTTGTAGCGAGACAACGCGAAGAATCTCCATTTCATCCTCGTAGACAGCTTGAAGGTAATCTCTGTCGTCATTGACATCAGAACGGTCACGCTCAGAAAATAGCTTCCTAAAGATGTTTAAGTCTTCTTGAGCGAATCCGAGCCGTTCTTCGTTGTCGACATGCAGAGCATCCAGGAACTCAAGGAAGCGCTCGGTTTCCTCAATTTCCCATGCGGTCACCAACATGCGCTGGCGTGCAGTCTCACGAGCAGCAAGCTTTGCTTGATACCCTTTGTACAAGGTTGCAGGACGCATTTGCGTGAGGCCATTTTCCAATGTTCCGGCATGCTTTCAATAATTTAGTCTCTACAATTAAATAAAAGAAATACACGATACCTCGAGAAGTGAGTCAGAGGATACGTATGGTTTGCATTCTCGCCCGGTGACACGAGCTGCATAACGGACCTCAATTGGAGCCGGAGAGGGGGGGTACGGAATGAACTTGTTGCTCATTCTCTCGCGGATAAAGCCACGTCGAGAAGCGCGTGCAGGATTTGGAGGTGTAGACGGATTATAGAATAGGCTGTCCGTCTCCGATTTGGCAGCTGCAATCTGAGGTGTCTTTGACAGTGAGGATATGCTTCTTAGTGAAGCACATATGTCAGAATGCCTCGTATTGGGAGAGCTTTCTGACTTGAGACTGGAATCAAAAAGAGATGATCCAGGAGTGGTAGCACGTCCGCCTGACAGAGGTGAAGATGGAGGACTGCTTGATGGAGGAGGGCAACTACCGCCTCGAGAAACGGGGGAGGAACTGACTTGTGGAGAAGAGACTGTATGAATCATCATGTACAAAGGGTGGACTTGGGAGAACCTGCGGAAGGCTAACTGGGAAATCTGCAATTATATGAAGCGACCTGTTGGATTATCACAAGGTTGACATCAGCCGGCGGAGTCTAAAAGACTGAATCGATTTGCGCACTGCGTAACGCCTAGCACTCAGCAAAGGGCAGTAAATGTGCGTATACTTATCATTGTCACTCAATAGTGCTGATGATCAATGGACATACCTGTACCAGGTTTTGTCCCAACTGCAGTAAAGAGTTTCCTACAATCGAGGCCATTACCCTGCACTTGAATTCTCAGTCTACCTGTTGGCCGCACGAGGAACGTCCGCATCAATTCCCTGTTCCCCCTGGGTTGCGAGGTTCCCAATCGTCAAAACCTTCTACCACTACTGGTTATTGTCATCCGCACTCGGGATATGTCTTTGGTGTTGGCAAGAACCTGTTTGACAGGCTGCAAGACGATCAGTATAATTATCGGCGAGAAATAAATACGTATTACCCTTTCCATGATGAAGGAGAATGGGAGTTGGCAAAGTTCTTGGTTGAAAACTTAACTCAAGCTCAGATTGACAAGTTTTTAAAGTTAAAATGGGTAGGAGAGACTTTGAGTGCTGCTCGACAGGCCTGACTCCGTTGTTTCCAGTTTCACACTCGCCCAAAACCATCCTTCACCTCCAAGGAGCAACTTCTAGATTGGACCGATGCACTACCCTCCTTTGTGCCATGGAAAGTTTCGAACCTAGAGTTTACGGGCTACAAGACGACTTATCCCGTGCAACTTATTTGGCGCGATGCTCTAGAGGTTGTCAAACAACTTTTCAGCGATCCGGTTTTCGCCAATCACATTACCTTCCAGCCACACGTAGTCAATACAGGAAGTCAATGCGAGTATGGAGATTATATGAGTGCCGATATGGCATGGAAAATCCAGGTTAGTTTGGCCCTTTAAGTCTACTACTTGAAGTTAATTCTATATACCTAGGACTATCTGCCAGTAGGTGCTACGCAAGTACCTATCATCCTGGGATCCGATAAGACTCCTGTCACGCGGATTACTGGAGGGCTCGAGATGCACCCACTTTTCATCACCATCGGTAACATCGATTCGGAGGTTCGCTCCAAGGCCACCCTGCGAGCTTGGCGCTGTATCGCCTACATGCCTGTTAGCAAGTTTCGCGTGCATTCCGACTATCAGACCATTCTTCAGGCGCGGCTATGGCATAAGTGCGTTGATCTCGTCTGCGCCAACCTGAAGGTTGCAGCGAGTGATGGCTGTTTTATGCCTGATCCTTCCCGACATATTCGATATGTCTTTACACCACTCATCGCCCATGTATGTGACCTTCCTGAGGCCTCCATGATCGCTGCAGTCAGCAAGAATGTCTCTCCAATCACTATGGCGACACAAGACAAATTCGGTGACGGAATTCTCTATCCTCCTCGCACTGGGAAGCACACACTACAACTTATACACGAGATCGCCAAAGAGATTGATCCTTGGGATCTCGACAAATTTCAGAAGGCAGCAAAAGCTGCCCATCTGTCTGGGGTCCACATGCCATATTGGCTTGATTGGTCGTTTTCGTGTCCATCCGTCTTTCTCCCTGGCGAAGTTTTACATACCCTTCATAAGTTTTTTGCAGATCATCCACTCAAATGGATCAAGGAGATAGTAGGAAAAACCGAGCTCGACACCCGCTTCATCACTCAGCACAAACGGGTAGGGACGCACCACTTTACTAAAGGCATCACGCACGTCAACCAAATGACTGGGCGTGAGCATCGTGATATTCAACGCACCATTGTTGCTTCAATCTCAGGCGCTGCTCCACCTAGATTCGTTCACGCAATCCGCGCTCTCATAGATTTTTTCTATTATGCTCAAAATCCAGTCCATTCTCCCGAATCCTTACAGTCGATGGTGCAGGCACTCTCCGATTTTCATGCATTCAAGGATGCTATCGTTGAGGCCGAGGCGAGGAGGGGGAAGAAGGGCGCCAAAGAAGACTTTTTCATCCCCAAGCTCGAGTTACTCCAAAGCTTCAGAGGCACGATTGAGAGACTGGGTACTTTGATGCAGTTTTCAGCCGACATGACGGAGCGCTTGCTCATCACTCACTGCAAGGATCTCTTTGCCCGAACAAGTCGACGAGTGAATGATTTCACGGAGCAGTGTGTACGGATTCTCAATCGCCAGGAGTCAATGGAATTGTTCAACCTGTACGCGCTAATCACTTCCCATGGCGCATCGCTCGTCAACGCCATAAACCTTGAAGATGAGGAAGTGACGACCGTCAACCCAGCACTCTCCTGGATTTCTCGTATACTCCCCGATGAAGCATATTCTGTCCATGGACCTCGACGAGTCCGTAATCATTTTCACAAGGGCATTCTTTCTGGAGATGCTCTCACTGCCTTCCATTTAACTTCAACACCAGATCTCAAGTCCCTGTTGCCCGTCGATATTCTCACCAAATACGCACTCGTTGATTTTGATCACGCAGTCTCCCAGTTCATCCAGCGTTCTTCCCTCTCCAGTGGCGAGAATACTCGCTGGGACCACAGACATGGACGCTTTTACGCGTGGAACAAATTTCGATTGCAACTTCACTCTGCCTTCCAACCTCGAGTGATCATGCCAAGCAGGGTAATCCAATCATACCCTCCCAGCGACCTATTTCCCCTCGGGAACTGTGATACCGTCCTTGTCGATGTTACGAGTGATGATGGCCAAATTAGTACGTATATTTTCTGCTGTCATATTCTAACACTAACGAGGTGATATTCAGCAAGTCGCGTCGCCCAAGTTCGACTTATTTTTCAGCCCAAGGTTCCACGTGCTTCCAACCTGGTTCTTCCAACATATCTTTCCAGTCCGCTCCTCTACATACAATATTTTGACTTCGTCGCCAATCCCAATGACCGTCCCGAACTCGCGATGTGGACAGTAGAGCGGTCATATGTGGTGGACCAACATGGCAAACGCTATAGGCGTGGTGGTGTGGTGTTGTTGACGGATGTTACACATGCTGTCGAACTGATACCAGAATATGGTGAGAAGGTCAACAAGGACATTTCTGCGACGACGTGTTTGGAGTCCTATGACCGGTTTTTTTTGAATAACTTTGCAGATAAAGAAAGTTATCATACGTTTAGTACGGAGTTCGCGTAGTATTGATCGTTAATAGTATTAGTAGCGCAGATTTGAATGCATGTCAATCGATTGCTGTGATTCTGAACTTTCTGAATGGCCCAATGATCAATACAAATGACCCTACTCGGTGTTTGGAAATGCAATTCCGAACCCTAGACTAGTATTTCAACTCAATCTCAATATAATAACATATAATGCAATACATACACCCGTTTAAAAATTATAACACTATCGATATCGAGTATTTACGGTGTACAACGGAAAAGTTTGTTCCACCAATCGCGTTGCTCCGATCACCAGGCCGTAAGCTCACCGTAAGCATCAAACTTCTTTCTGACAAGCGAAATTTCAAGGTCTTTTGCTGATGTACTAGTCTCGGCTGTGCGCACGTAAGTTCGTGTGTAGTATGATAGTACAAATGTAGTATTAATAATTATGTAAGATCGGTCTGTGCGCACTTGTGAGACAACGCACACTGCATCACTGAAAACCAAGATCTATGATAAACCCTTATATACACATTATAATCCCAACAATGTCTATAATCGTATAAAATATGGCAGTGCAGAAGCCATAGTCTTGTATAGAAATATATTGTTATCCCTTGCGACCAATCTTTATCATGATTACCTGTGCCCGGCATTAGTTGAATGAATTTGGCTGTGTAAAAACTCAAACAGATTGATAAACACGCTAATTGCTGAAAACAAGATATATATGTGTAGAACGCTATCCCCTATGACCAATAATTATCAAAATGGTTTTCATTTGGCATTGGCTGCATGAATCATGTTGTGACAATACTAAAACTGTACTGAAGTGATGATGCATGTTCGAAAAAGTGTCTCTCATTTAGCATTTCTAGCACAGCGGCTCTCCTGTCCAATAAGTAAAAGAGATAGAAATTCTTGCCATCTGTACCATCATATGGACAATTGCTTCATTGGCATCATGGTATTGCGGGTTTTATACTTGATTGGCCAGGAAGTCACATTGGGTTGTATAGGATTATACAGAGACACTCGGTACAATACATGTAGTTTATCAATGCCTCGCCAATTCTCTACCCTAATCTCATCATCAACACCGTCTGCAGGAACAATAACATGGGTTGAACCACAACAGATATCGTTAGTGCCTTGAAGTCCAATGAAAGCAAGGTGTCGTGGCAACTTGACACTATTGTTTCCTTATGCAAAATTTGCACTGCTCAAGTGGTTGACTGAGTTTGGCGGTGCCGGTGTACAATCAAGCTCAGCGGTGCCAGTATAGGATCGAGTTTGGTGGTATATAATCGAACTCGTGGTACCATAGGATGTAACAGGATCGAGTTCAGCCATAGGATCGAGTTTTTGGCCATGGAATAGAAGTTGGTCGCAGGGATCAAATCCAAATATGAGATCGAGTTCAGCCATATCATCGAAGACCAGTCATCCTTAGACAGAAACATAGACCACAACATGACATATCCTGTTGCCAGACCATGTAGTACAGTGCGACTTTCTGGATGGCATCCTGTCGAGAAACTTGCAGGAAGTAGCGTTAATGAGTGATTGAAGGCAGAGTAGGTGATAGTGGGGATTGTAAATAAAATCTGAGTCGGATCCTTACTTATCAATGACCGGAAGATATGCTCGGCCGGTGGTGACTGAGGTCTTGACCCTTCCCAAGGGAGTTGTACCTCGTTCGTTTTGAGATCCGGTGGTCAAACTATTTCAGAATAGGAAAAGAGAAGGAGCAGGGTCGGAGCCGGGTAAGGCTGCGAGCTTCGGCGTCAGTTGCAGACAGCTAAAACCAACAGAGATAACGGCAGTTTCGAGCATCGGTCGAGGACACATGGCCAATGTTGACTTTGAAGAAAGGCCAAAATGCAGAATAGGTTTCAAGTGGGATTGAGGGATCATCCAGACCACCATTCACTACTGCCCGATCCCAACAACCGCCAGTGCTTAGCGCACATGCCCAGCGCATGTCAGCAAATGCTGACGTGGCTCGAACATATGCGAACCACACCGGAAGGCGCCAGAATGAGAGGAGTGGAGGAGGGCGAGAAGGAGATGAGGGAGAGGTAAGTTTAAGTCTTGGGTACCTATGGAAATGAGGTAGTTAGCAGCATAAAAATGCACAATACATATTACACGCACCTCTGCAGCTTAGAGAAAGGTACCCACAATCCCTCGGCCACATTCAACACCATCAATCTCCAGTAAAATGTCACAGCTCATTCCAAGCACCACATCCCTTCGAGCTTTTGACAGACCGGCAGTGCCTGTTCAAAAAGTCGGCTCAATGTCAAGTAAGAGATGTTAGGACCTCAGAAGCGAAGAAGGATGGCACTGACTGCGTCTTGAGATGAATTGTTGAATCAGAAAATATGACAATGACAAGCAAATGTAGCGAAGCCATGGAGGACGAGTGCAACTCACAGTGGTGTGTGTGAGTTTTGTGTGTCTAGAATTTTTGAATAGATCAGCGCCATATACGTTGAGCGTATGCCTACAGCATCGACGTCTTCCTATCATTCTGCACTGCTATATAGTATTAAGCAATTTTTACGCATGAATGCAAAAACTATACCACCAGCTTAGAATTCGACATACTGTTAAATTAATGTGTCGAAACGACAAACAAGCTCACGGATCAGGAAAATGATGCTTGATAAGTAGGCCAATACATGGGCATATAAGGACAACACAGATTTCGCCAACCTTATAAGGTAAATATTGTCATACCGGGTTATCCGGTTTTCAGTGATGTGACAAGGCCCAAACGTTTGGTATTCGAATTCATCAGACGCAGTGATGTTCATTGTTGTCTCCTCGACGACGCTAGTCAGACATTGATATGCAGAAGCTTGGAAGGCAGTCACAGTTGTTCCTTCTTTATCGAGGCGGTGATGGGCTGTTCAAATTTCGCAATTGACTGATCGGATCAATGTTCAAGGAATTCATCAGCAAAAACCCCCTTTTAATATTGGCGAAAATTGGATCATATTTTGTAAAACGTAGAAAATCATGTACCGTTTTCCCGAATGTGCGTCAATCCAATCCAATATTCAGCAAATTTGACTAATGTGTTAACAGGGCCACAGAATTTGCGCAAGTGAGGGAAAATTGTTTGGTACATTGGGAGTACTAGTACTCGTTTTCTCGAATGTGATCTTATTATACTAATTTACGTATGCCGTGAGCAGCAAGCTGGACTTCCAACAGATGAGCCTTTCTTGCCTCCTCACACCGCTTGATTTCAGCATCCCAACGATCTGCCACAAGTCTACACATGTAATTTTGAGAGACAGTTAAAGGGGCCAGAGTTTGACGGTATGGTGGAACAGGAGTTTCAGGTATTTCTGTCACAGGGGTAGCGCCAATCACAAATTCTGGCAATGGAAATCTGCGGATCAATGGTTTTTTAATCCTTGTCACTTGGTAAGAATCTGCTGACACAATGATATGATCAACGACTTACTTTTTGATGGGTGAGACTGGTGCCTTATGTTTGCCAAAGTCCAGGCCTGGGGAAGGCGAGCGCGGGCTACAAGTCCACTGGCAGTGAGAATGAATGATCTTACCCTCAGAATCAACCAACCGTTTCCTGGGACTTATATTCTCTTTCTCTGCAATCCAGTCCTGCAAGTTGGTCAGTTAGAGTATCTGTAGCTTAGAAGTGGAACCTGCGCACCATAAATATATCCAACAAGACACTTGATACACGTAAAACACAAGCAGATGATAGTCAAAGAGATTGAATCGACATGGAGAAAAAATATGCGCACCAAGACCGAACCGTGAGAAACCATCTGTCAATGCCTAGAGACCCAATATCAGTCATCGGCCGGGCCATTGAAGTGTGTACAACAAGCCTTTTATTTAACTAGAATACAGTTACATATGCATCTCGGTCAGTGAAGTTGTTTACAAAAAAAGTGCTACACCGGTCTAATACGTTGCTCGTAGTCCATTCACGTGGAGCTACTGTCCCGAACTTGGGTATTAAGTGAATGGACTGTCGAACATTGCGAATAGGGACAATGCTGGATTGCCTGTCACCATCATAAAGTGCGCATGAAACCTTATACATTCCATGGTTAATGTCTGGTGCAGTGAACGGCGTGAACCATTCGACGTAAGCAAGGTGGTCAGGCACATTGACATTGCCAAACAGTGCACGTTTGACATTGGCCGACAGTGAGAAGACCACGTGAACTTGCGCAACACGATATCCTGCAAGTCATTCGTCAGCCGAAGTGTCCCTGCATACACACATCAAGACACTCACCTTCAACACCCATTTTTCCGCCATTGCCCAGATTTACAAGTGCAGTATCAAACCTCGCTGGAACTTTCCTGTTGTGGCAGTCACGTCGGGCAGGTCTCGCATGGATCGCGTCAACGGTGACATTGTTTAGCATGCCATCATCACCCACAGTACTATAGCGGACCTTGTGGAATACCGCAACTGACTGGAATGGTAGATTGACATGGCAGGCAGCCTCTTCAGACTGCCTCACAGTCAAATCAGGCTGTGTCACTTGCACGACGAAACGAGCCACAGCAGCTTGAAAATGTACAGCACCATACTGCTCAGCTAGGGACGCAAACGTCACCCGTTTAACAGATGGGTTTTTTGTTAGCTTCGATTGTCGCAGATATACAAGGTCGGAGTGGGGTAGGGGATGACGCGATTGAGGGACATGAGCTGGGGCAGCACCATTGTGTAGACGCCATTGAATAAATTTATCGTGCCACAGCATCTTCTCTCGTCGCTCGAGCCAGAGGGTCATTTGCATGTATTCGTCCTTGTGATTTGTCGCGCGGTATGCATCCTTCGCTAGATCAATGTGAAGTCGTTCTGTATATTCAGTGTTATAATTGTCAGTGGTTCCGAACATTCGAATCATCGTAACGTAGTGTCGGAAAGAATGGAGCTTTGGGAGGTTGAATGATGATCGGATACCTAGATCCACGAAGATAGACTTGTTGTCGTGAAATCGGTTGAGTGCACCACTCAGAAGCTCTAATGTCAGATCCGAATGACATGGGTACTGCGCGAGATATAAGAAGTCGAGGAGGCCTCGAACTGCGCGAATCAGTCTAACAGGGGATGCCCCATCAGGCAAACGGATGTCGATGATTAGGCCCAGAAGAAAGCGGCATATTTGCTGGTGCTCCGTACCGCTTACTCGCGACAAAACTGATATACCTTTCATAAATAGGCGGATATTGTGATTCGGAGGCAAACGTTTGCACCGCGCATCAATTTCGGCCTCGCCGTAAGCTGATTTGATCCAAGAGATAAGGTGTTTGACAAGGCCTTGATATATCTGGTGGAGAACGTCGGGAGTGATTGCATTATATATATTACAGTGCGGGAGTCCCTCCCAGAAAGGATGATAAAGTGGTTTTATTCCTGAAATGAGTGCAAGAGTCAGAAACGGGTAAAACATAGTCAAAAAACCTTACCTGCATCTCGACAAGCCTTGGTGAATTGAGTCGGATCTTCATCGACGAGAGCGAGTGCATGTAAGATTTGATCCAAATCACGCATCTCAAAAGGTAGATCTTTGCTCCCAAGCTCCGTCGAAGGTATATCACATTTCGGACACTCTCCAGTCTTCATCCCAGTCACCAAGAGTTGCTCTGGGTAATCTCCAATATAACAGGCCAAAAGAGGGTGACCACGACGAAGGACTCCATCGCCGCTGGCTATTGACATCCCATCCTTGCCTGGCACAATGAGTGGCTCAACAATGTGACGGACACATGCGTGAAAAAGATTCGCAAGACAACAACGCCGTGCTGCTTTGTTGGTGATGTGCTCCAGCTTTGTTGTGGGAAGATAACCGACAAGTATCTGCGCGTTACGAGAGGGTTGTCGTCGTATTTCTTTGGGGAGGTTTCCGATAGTCATGTAAATTGGGTACGCTGACTTGTTTCGAAACATCGTGACTTGGGTCTTGTCCGATGAGAGCAGGATGGGGATTATAGTTGCGCCAGGTTTTTCGTTTTCGAGACATTTCTATACATTCAACTCAATTAGTGCAAGGCCCCAAGTCATGTATTAGTTCTCTCACCTGCGTATGCCACCACCAATTGCCTGTATACATATCATGATATATCCTCTGAGTCTTGTCCTCATCGGAATAGTGTCGTTCGGGGGCGAATACCAGGTGAGGTGCAAGTTCCGGATCTCCGAACAGTGCCTTGATGCATTGTAGGATATCCCGAAAGTATACATCAAAGGCCTCGCCAGCAACCAGGATCTCCTGGCGCCTAAAACGAGGACGGTGGGCAGGGATTTTGCTGTCGATAATGTGGTTTAGCTCACGAGAATTCCTGTAAGAGAGGCCAAGCCGTTCGCAAACCTGTTGAAGTCAGTACCATAGTATTGCCAGAGAAAACATAAACTCACACCGTCAATGTTAAGTAGATCTGAGAAGGCAGTCGAACCTTGCCCCCTCAGCTTGGCCCACCGGGCGACTTCATAGTCAATATGTGAGGTGAACAGGGCCCAGACACAGCTAATTCCATCTTCACTCATCTTTTCACCATACGACTGATATCCATTTTGCTCACTAACAATTTCATTAATCGTGGCTCCAGCAGTGCGAAGCGGAAAGGTTGCAATATGAGGGTGATGGTCCAGAGGAAGTTCGGCTTCGTGACGACGAGTGCGTTGGCCATCAACGTCGTCATCAGCATTGCCTTGTTCATCCATGGGAATATTCTCATTCATCTCCGGTTCTTCGGCACTTCGCATACTAGGAGGTTCCCAATCTGTCTCTTGTTCAGCCACTCCACCTTCGCCCTCAATTTCCTCATCTTCATCGTCATCACCCACCACCTCAACATCATCTTCATCGTCTACAGGCCATTCAAGGTCGTCCGGTGTAGTATTGAAAAAATCACCTTCAAATAGGTGCGGCCCATCATCATTGTGCAGCCCATCATCATTGGTGGGCTTGGTGCCAGTGTTTGCGTCAGCATTGTGCGACAACAATGCAATAACGACATACCTGTGGTGAGTGACCTGGACTGCTAGGCATGTAGTTGTGCATGTCCTCGTAGATGCTAACACAGGCAGAATTCCTGGTTTGTGCAAGGTGACGTGAGTACCCACTCTCACTAAATGTGCAACCACAGCCATCACAGACTGGCATGGTGCTGTGGCTGCAGCGGTTTCAGTGGCTCTGGCTGAAAGTATGTCGGGATATAGCGGAACCTCGGGACCTCGAAGTCCAAATTTGTAAGTGTCAATGTCAATTTTTTCAGTTGCGCATCCGACTGACCCAATTCTCTTTTTCTCTCACTCTATCAGATCTTTTCAATGTTGACTCCGACCGAAAATGCTGCTGCAATGTGTGCAGCCAAGCTGAAGAGACGTGTGGAGGCCACCACTACTCCAGAAGTGTTGGCTTCCCAGTCTGCTCCGAGTCGTACGTTTTCTCAGTGTCGCTTTGTTTTTCTAATGCGCCTGAACATCTGGCATAAAGGACCCTCCCGACAATCCAAGGTCACAGCACTGAAAAATCAAGGTGCGCATCAACGGCTGTCTGAGTCGAGCCACATCTTCTGACTCACTTGAGCAAATTACAGTTTGGATGCCAGACAAGAAGACACGAAAGCGGGCCGCATCGAGCACGGCTGAGCCTGAACACGCCAAGCAGGCACGAACCTGTAAGTTTCATCAGAGTTTGGTCTATTGTGAACTCACACTGATTTATTATATGCCATAGCGGGCCCAAAAAATACTGACCCTGTGAACAGAAAACGGAAGAGCAGTGTTCCACAGCCAGCGGCGCAACTTTTCGAGTCTGACTCAGACGACTTCAAGGTTGATGGAAGCGATGGCGCCGAATCTGATTCTGGAGCCGAGTCAGACGACAAACTCGACGAATCAGATGATGACAGTATTCTGGGACTCATTGGTGACAAGCTAAAGGCTACCCTAGACTATGAGGTATGTGCTATTGTTATCGATGATTTTACATCTGAGTGTCTTCATTATTTGCATAGCGTCCTCAAATTACTACACATAACGACGGTATGTGACAACCTCCTCCTACCAGTACTTAAGTGACACTCTCATTTAGACAGCCGCAGTGCAGCTTCATCATTCAGCTCAATCCCCCCTAGTACATCACCGGACTCTGACAATGACGACCCCGTTCGTACCATGGACTCTGCTGCGGAGGATATAGGGCCCGGGAACAGTCAGCTTACTAACATGAAGAAATCCGGCCCTCGCTATCGCTCTTCCAAGCTGAAAGAGACCAGTAAGGCCAATCAGAAAGGGGCGCTGTCAAAAGGAAGTAAATACCTGAAGCAAAGAGAACAAGAGGTGAATGAGTCTCGTTGATTCTCTTGAACATTCACTCACTGCACTCGTTGTTTCAGAAACCAACTTGGTGCACGCCAGACAAGGTTGATGACACCACCAGTGGGCCACCTGCAGATGACGAAGCAGTGTCAGCGCGGTCTATTCGTTCACGCGAAGATGACTGGTTGCCTTCTTGTCGCATCGTATATAGCAGTTCCGGTAAGGTCAATTTAACCGAGCAGCAACCTCACATCCAGGACTTGCTGCAGGCCTCGATTACCTGCCTTCACGAGCACATCCTCTTCGAAAATGCGTACTTGGACCTCCAGCAAAGGAGGAAAATTATGGCTGACATACTCTTGTCATGTGCGAAAGATGGAGAGGAATTTGTAGATGTGAGAAAACGGCTTACGAAGGATGCGAAGTATGTACGTGCGTTATCTTCCGTGGTATGTGTATTATGTTGCCTTGAGTTTACTACTGTCTTCTCAACTCATTTGCAGCCTGAAGGTCGTATTGGCACCATTTGCGGGAACGTCAGGAAGGTTGCGCAAGCACATGTGGCAAGCCACTATGCATCAGTAAATTCACACTTTTCTTGGCCGCCCTTATTTGCAAAATTAAAACTTAATTACAACTTATTTACCATTATTTACTTGAGCGCGTGCAAACGAAAGGAGACGCGCGACAAACAAGTGCAATAATTGATCAAAAGGTAGCACGTGACAAACAAGCGTGATAATACAGCGATAAGCCATCAAAAGTGCCTTCGTCAATTGCAAGTAACAGAAGTGAAGTAAGTACTACTAAGACTCATTTTAGCTATGATAGATTGACGAGATGGTGTTGATTACAGTCCATGGCAGCCTCAAAAACGTTTGTTTGCGGGCGGGGGAGCAGGCGCCAGTGGGGCGATGTAGTGATCAGGGCGGATGCTGCCATTCGGGCTGAAGCAGAGGCGGAGGCGGAGGAGGCGAACACGGAGGGGGCCTCGTTGGGCTTTTGGAAAAGGATGAAGAGGTGGATGTGGAGCAGGGATCGAGACGAGACGAAACGCGTTGCGTGAGGCGCGTGGGGTGATTCCAAACTACAGTGAGTACTGAGATGTCCGATAATCGACGAGCACTCACCATTCGTTATGATAGTGTCGTCTCAGTGTCTCGTGGCCTGTAAATATAAGCCGTCAGCAGTTGTAGCATTGTACACTAGGTAGAACGAACACGAACCTTTTTGCCGTCCTCCTCGCCATTTCTCATAGCCTCTTCGACACTCTTCTCCGTGATCACTCTCCACACCCGAGTTCGCGAATGACGTGTTGAACCCCTCATCGAGTGACTTCGCAGAGTTGAAGATCTTGGGCAGGACGAAGTTGAGGAGGGCCAATAGTTCGGGAACGTTGTTCTGAAGGGGGGTACCGGTGAGGATGAGGCGGTAGCGGAAATGGTAGTACTGCGTCAGCGTCTGTGCAAGGGTACCGGTGAGGATGAGGCAGTAGCGGGAATGGTAGTACTGCGTCAGCGTCTGTGCAAGTTTCGACTGGGTGTTCTTCATGCGATGTCCCTCTGATAGCAAGCATGAACAACATAACCAAAAAAAAAAATCAAACCCACTTACCAATGATCATATGCACCCATTTGAGTTTGCTGAGAATAGGTCGGTCCTTGATGATGTACTCATACGTAGTGAGCAGAACCTGGAACTGGCCCATCTGCAGGTCGCCTTGGAGGTTTCGACGTTGTGCAGGGTTGCCCTTGTACGAGATCATTTTCAGCGTCGGCGCCCACTTTGCGAATTCGCCAGACCAGTCCATCATTGTCGATAGAGGCACGATCTCGAGGAATTAAATATTCTAATGGGATCTGACCGTTAAAAACAGATCAAAATTTGAATTGAAGACGTACCTATGCCATACATGGCGGTCAGGAGGCTATCTCGAACGCATGATGATCAGCGAACTTGTTGACATAAAATGAGCGGAAACAATCAATGGAATGGTAGAACTTAAGGTCGTGAGGGATGTACTCCGAACCGTACATAGGTATCAGGTGTGCTGCACGGAACACCGTCTCGATATGAATAACAGCAAGGTTCCGGGAACCACCCTCGTGGAAACTGGGACGGACCATCCACATGCCAGTGTCTTCGTCAGCACAATCATCAATCTTCTCAAACCAATGAATGAGAGCGCATGGATATACTTCCCAGTTGTGCTTGAAAGAAAAGAAGCATACAATTCTCGCAACTTCGAGTCCTCGCATGCCTTGAGCGTCCGAATCAGTGTCGATGAACACACAGTCATTGCGCGGGTACTCGTTTCTCCAGAGTGGACATGCACGGATATGTTCCCGTCGCATGCCACCAGTACCACTCAGATCGCTGGGAGCAAAGAAGGTTGCTGGCAGCAGAATTGAAGACCTGGAGCTTGCCTTCATGCCGAGGCAAGCTACCAGTTGGGACATCTGCAGGATCGCGGGGATCATCTTGGTTGAGCTGAGTGAACAAAAAGTGTCGAATGAGGCATCGCAGATCTGGAACAGCAACTTCGTGTGCTAACGCCGCTACTGTTCGCGCCCGTTTTCGTTCTGTATGATACAATAGTTAGCATCGAGATTTGACGCTGCATGGTATCACTTACGAGGAGTTTTGGCAAGCACTACATAACCAAGTACTGTTGGACCATCAACTACCTCACCGTCATCGATATCGATGTCTGGTTGCGGTTCAATGGCATGGGCATCTGGCTGTGGTGCAATAGGAGGGACAGCCTGTTCATCTTCATCCGGTGCTGTATGTTGCTGTTTGAGTATGCGAGAAGACGACCAGAGAAAGAAATCTTACTGAGAGCGGCTAAAGCACTTGATAAAATAGTGCCAGTGAGCATCCCTCGTGCATCAAAGTCCACACGGGATGCTGCAAGCTTGTCAAGGCGTTGATTGGTTACAAGCATCTGACCAAGAGCATTATGCCTGCTTGACCAACGCCAAGGCTCCTTTACAGCCTTGATATGTTTTGATTCTGTGATTGACGAGCATAGTCCGTTCGGGGCACCGAAAAGTCGAATCATGTCCGTATAATGAATCATTGAGTGCTGGCGAGGGAGTGAGAAGGTAGGAACAACGAGATCAAATATCTGGCGATAGCGATGGAACCGGTGAAGTGCGTCTTGCATCTGGTTCAGGGTATCTTCGGTGACAACATCGCGCCGCGCAAGATAACAAAATTCTAACAATGCGCGAAATGCGCGAACCATATCTCCAGGCACATGGCCTTCAATAGCTGGAAGAAAGACCTTCATGAGCGCTTTCGAATCATCACCCGTCCACTGTTTGAAGTCGCGGCCTTGAGGAAATCGTCGTAGACCAGAAAATGATGGTGCAGCAGCGACTCTGACTTAAATTAGAAGAGAATATCAATATAATGAATGAAGGGCATACCTGCGATCTATGTCGCTCATAATCTCCTCCGCCCGCCTGGTCCCGTGCACAGCCTTGAGGTACTTTGCTACCCAGTCGACGAGATGGTCTTTGAAAGCACCTTTGATGAGCTGATGGAGGAGGTCGAATGACAGTAACTCGTGGATATCTGCTCGGGGGAAGTCGTTCGTAAAGGGCTACACAATACATATTAGTTTCGAATTGCAGAGCGGCCGGCTCCACTCACGACGAGATCACCAATGATACCGAATTCATCCCATAATACATCCCCATGTAGCTCACCAATAAGGAACTCAGTGTGCTCACGACAGCGATCCATGCCACCATTGTCGAGGTTCGTTCGAACTGCAATACATCTATGTGTATTGTTAGTACAGATGGATAATGATTACAACTTCCAATACTCACTTCGGGCACCAATGCTTAACAATACAGGATAGCACTAGTTGTTCCTCGTAATCCGCGATGTAGGGTCCTAGACTGTATATAATGCGCCGAAAATGTCCATCTCCACAGCGCACAACTTCGTATTCGGTCATTGCGGATTTCAAGCTAGAGAGAATGGCAGATAGCGAGCTGTGGAATAGCTGGCGACGAAATATCCGAAACGCATCATCTTTTGAATGCTTCTTGTCAGCTGTAGTGCAGTAAGTCAGATGAGGCGCAATAAAATCTAAAATATCAACACACGTACTTTTGGGTATGGCGAGGAAACCGATTATGACAAGAGCATCGCGGTGAGCACGCCGTACACTGTTGCGTACATTGCCGATCAAGGCATAGAGGGGATAGTACTCGTTGTTACCAGTGCCCACAGAAACGGTAGTCTTATCACTACCGAGAATGATTGGGACTAACGCAGATCCATGCGTCTCTGGATCTTTTGATATGATGTCCTTGATGAAGCGTTAGCTCTGTCCCGAGCAGTAATAGATGGAAAACATACTGATTGTTTCCATGCCCAGTCTCCAGACATGAAGTCTTTCCAACGGCGCGTCTTGTCCAATGCATCGTATTCACGAAATGGCGTATAGTCGATTTCATCTTTGAAGGTGGGGTTGGCTAGTATGTTGTGCGCCATCGCGCGAGGGTCCCTATACCAGACATCGAATTCATCATCCATCCATGGCGGGACAACCTCAGGGCGTTCTCCTGTGTACTGAACCGAGAAAGATTGCCAGGGGACATCACCAAGCTGTGTCGCATCTATGACATTGTGGAGATCTTTATGATCGGCGAATGGAGGGACATCGCGGTGTTTCACGAGAGTTGCGGCCATTAAATCACATAAGAAATCCAGGTTTTTGGCAGACATATGGCATTTTTTGAACGCGAACTCAGCCGCCTCAAATTCTATTCTATTGCGATATGGGCTCCAGTTGTCAGGAGCCTTTTGTGGCATGGGAGTTGGAGGGGCACCATGTGGCAGAAATTCTCCATCAGCCGTGCATGGTCGTCCTAAGCATAGATCTAAGTCAAAAACAAAAACAACAAGAGTACAGATGTAAATGAACGTACCGTTTAACATCGAATGGTATGTACGATAACAACGCTCACTTGAATCGGTAAATTCTGCGTCAGCGTTGTCCGAATCCTCATGAGTTGGTTCAGAGGGCATAGGAGGTGATGGCTGGGGAGGTTGTGAGAAATCCCGAGGAGGTGGTGAGAAATCTGGAGGTGGTGGTGAGAAATCTCGAGGGTGGGATGGTGACCGGGATGGTTGAGGAGGTCCTGGAGCAGGTATATTTGGGTGGAGTGAACACCTGTGTTGAGTGAGACCTGATTGGTTTCGAAACCAGCGTGCGCAGCCTGGAGCCGGGCATGGAAGCTGAAGTAGGTGGTGAGCACGGCGGGGAGGCATATATGTGTTGTAGGCCAAGTTGATGTTGGCAGTCGAAAAGTATATCTGAAGGTGAACGAGAAATTCGGACCGGCACCAATGTGACCAAACCAGGCTAAATGCACAAATGAAGGCTAGATTCGGGGGTTCTTGAAAGCGCCCAAATTACATAGGCTCATTGACGTTCGAGCAACACCAGAAACTTGAAGGTGTCCAATACAGTGAACTCTGGGTTCACAGCACCCGAAATATGCCGAAAGTGTTACTGAACTGCCTCCTTGCCGGACAGGTTTTAGTAAATGTTGATGTTCAAACTGCTTGCCGAGAAGCGCTTGATGAACATTGACGCCTTGCAGCAAAACTATGGGTAAAAATTAATATTCAGACTACTGGGGCTGGTGAAAAATACTGGTAGACAAACATTTGGGAGCGGCAGGCGCGAAAGGATCGCGGTAATCTAGTGGGTACGTCAGCTTGGTAAGGGTCAATGTAGATATTTATTCAGAGTCAGCTTAGACTACAATTTTTGAAGAATGGTGACGAAACATACCTTGTTGTGAGCTACCATCGCCCTCAAATTTCTTTACCCTCCCAAACGCTCCATTGACACCATGCCCACCAGCGCAGCTCCAAAACGCATGGCGACTCGACCTAAGAATGCAACTCAGCATCCAGGACATATTCTGACTGGGGGCGAAAACCGTACAAAAAGACGTACCAAAGCTCAAAAGGCCGCCGACGACCAACGTGAAGAAGAGGAGAAGAAGGCAAGTAAAGCAGCTGTACTGGAAACTAATAAGCGCGTTGCGGCATTTCATAAAAAGATGGAGACAGACCAAGCTGCTGCGCGTGCTGATGCACCTAAGCCTAGTCGTCCTCGTCCTCGTCCTGTGAAAAAGGCTGTGAAAGCTCCAGAGACCACCGACTTGACTACGGCTGCCGGTAAGGCTGTTGGCGCTATAGGCAATGGTGGCAGGGCTGATAAATCAGCAGCCAGTGCCAATATTGAGCATCCTGGGAGTGAAGAAGACGAGGAGTTGGAGGTGCAGATGCCAGGAGCACGCAAGAAGAAGGGAAAGAGGATGGTGATCCCAGTGAAAACACCTGTGAGAGATGCGATTGATGTGGCGGGTGCCCTCATCGCCAACGAATCAACACAGGCACGTGATGATGATAAGTCGTCTGACTCGGATGTGTAAGGCATTTAATCGTTTTAACCATGAAGCTCCATCTGACTGAAACATCACTTTTTTTCTTCAATCTTATGGTCTATGATGACGATGCTAGCTCTCCACCTGGTTCTAAAAAATTCAGTCATATCGGTCGTATCCCGAATTGGAGGACACACATTCACATTGGAAAGCCATCCTCCGAGTCCAACTTGAAGCACCGTGGGAGAGCTTCTGGAGTGCCTTCTACTACTATCTCTAGTGCCACTCCCTCCTCTAAGCTCACCAGGGGGAGCACTTTGAGTAGTGGTGGTGCCTTACTCACGCCTATCGATACTCCCGATGCTGGGGCCAACGACGTGTCGGATCTTTTTACAACTCTGTTTGCAGACGACGAATTAACCGACTCAGTCGAGCGCTCTCAAGCACTCGCTCGTATGTCAAAATCAAAGGCTTCTCAGGTGAGTCCAACCATCTAGTTTATTTCTATGTGCTAACTGCATTTCCAGGGTGTCAAAATTTCTCAAAAGGTCTCAGAGAATTCTCGACTTCAAATGAAGTTACCCCATCGCAATGCCAATCTGGCACCCAAGCAGCTTGACCCGATTGAGCCTGATGTCACCGCGGATGATGGTGCCTTCAATCTCGTGGGCGATGATCTTGAAGTGAATGCGGAGACTGCTCCTCCAGTAACTTCCCTCGTTGACTATGATTCCAATACCGAGAGGGAATCTGATCTTGAACCCCCTCCTTCTGCACAGGTTCCAAAAGGATACTATGATGCCGACCGGCCTCCACGTCTCGCTCCATCCTACTTATCCCGCCCTACCAGCGTCAAGCGCAAACTCGTAGATGCTGAGGATGACATTACTGACGATGACTTGATTGAGGACACTCTAATCGAGGACAACCTCATGATCACAGATGACTTTGCGATCGAGGACGACCTCATGTTAACGGATGTGATCAAGGACGACATCATGATCGAAGACGACCTCATGATCGAAGACGACCTCATGATCGAGGATGGCCTGGTCGACGAAGACTCACCCTCCTCCGAAATCGAGTTTGTGGCTCACGTCGAGCCTGTGGTCAAGACTGTGGTCAAGACTGAGTACAAACCAGTGTCCTTGCGGTTGACTTCTATGGTAGTGTGCTTTGGGTTCAATTATTTGAATTCTACTGACTACAAAATTTATAGACCGGTGTCGGCGTCAAACGCAATGCCCCCCCTGCAGCAAAGCGGCTGAAGTCTTCTCGCAGCATGTCCAGCATTCCAAGTACTGTGAAACCTCAGGCTGGTCCCGCGAATCCGTTAGAGGTGACAGTGGAGATCCTCCCCCGTTCTTCATATAGGATCAAGCATCTTCCTGGAGGACCTCGGGCAGTGGCTAGGTGGAGCACAACCTTCATTCCCACTCTCATTTCTGCTATCGGAGACCAGGAAGAAGTCTGGGGTCGTATCGAGTCGGAAGCAACGTTCCACGCTACTATACAGGACACCTGGGATGCTGTCTATGAAGATATCCCCCATATCGTCACGAATGATGGACCCGTTATAGCTATAGTGAGTTATCTTTGACACTATTCATGTCTGACCTTTATTTTTTCCTAGGCTCTGCAACGGCTATCAGAGTGGCGCAATTGCATTGGCACCACGGCTGTCACGGTATACACAAACTTCCTGTCGTTGCAAGATGATGTCAAGACTGATGAAGATCGCAAAGCATTTTCCGAGAGCTTACTTGTCAAGTTAGCGTTCCTGTATGGGAACATCCCGGAGGAAGGGAAATTGGAGAACCCTTTCGAGTCTGAGCTTATCATTCAGGTACTCACACAGCACGCATGCGCTACTTTGGGTGCTATTGGCGACCATCACACAACAGCGCATGCAAAAGGTGCACTCAGCCTTTGCACTGCAGCGGCATGTATCTTCCTGCCCTCTCTTCACAGCACGGCTAATTATTTCCTGTGTTTTAGGTGGAACGTGCCATCCGCCTTATCGCTTCCGAGACGCTTGTCAGCGAATTGGAGGCGAACAGTAAAGGCAAGGCCGTCAAGGTCCCTCACTCTCTCAACAAGTCCTCGGGCAAGATCAGCGGCTCTCGAAAGGCGTTCTCGGACACTAATTTCGGTGTAATGACCAGGCGCTACATGACATCCATCAACCGCCTGCAAGACTCAGTCATCCAGGATATCTGGGAACAGGCGAAGGAGATTGCCTTTAAGAGGCGCGGTGCACCCTCCGCTCCAGACGAAGACTCGGAGGATGAGCGCGCACTCATAGGGTTCTAGTTGTTGTCTTTCTTGTTGCCCACTGCATGCATCTCCTTCACTGCTTCACTGCTTCATAGTATGCTACTGCTTCGCTAATTGCTGCTTCTGAAACTCCTTTTTAGTGTCTTTTGTCCAACTTTTTCTATACTTAATCTACTTGTCGCTTGAAATGCTATGTTTTGCCGTCATTTTTCTCTCAAAAAGTGTGATTAAGTCGCAAACAAGTAGAAAATAAGTGAGATAAGTGTTATTACTTGCTGCTACTTTTGCTAGCACTTGCACTACTTACAAAGGCAAAATTATCGAAAAAAGGCCAAAATAAGAGTGGAAAAAGGTCCAGTCAAGAGGAGGCATCTGCTTTTTCAACTTAAAATTGCTTGTGGCAAGTGGGTGTCACAGTTCTTGCGCGTGGCTTATCCGCACCTTTTTTGGAAGTTAACCGGCGGCAAGTTACAAAAAAGGCAGTTCAAGAAATGTGAGAATTTACTGATGATGGTCTCACGAAAGGTGCTGATGACAGGGTCGCGGACCTTCTCAAGAACAATGCATACATTTATCCGGTGAACGCGAAGGTTCATCAAAGATTTATCGTCTATTTTATGTTTGAGCTGATGCCAGTGGCTTCATACATTACAGGGGGACCTTATCCGAACCAAACCATTTCAAGCGCCGGCGATTTTGGACACCATCGAGGATGCATTCTTCAGCGACGAGCTCGCAGCGGGAGTAAAGTGGCATGACCATCTGACATCAACAATTGATGATCATCCTGACGAGGTTGAGCTGCCTGTCGCGATGGTGGCACTTGCTAGCGCTGCGGTATGTTTTAATTGCTGTGGGTATGTTATATGTATTAATCAATCACACAATTCAAGGTGTGCTCCGTCATTATGCAGTACTCCTCCGAAAAATTCGACCGAGACTTCAACTCGGACATGTACGGCGGGATCTATCGGACATTGGTTGGCATGTTGAATGGCATCTTCAAGGCCAGCGAGCGCAAATTTCACGTACTCGTACACTCGCTGTACAAGTCTGTCTAGTGAGTTCTATCTTTTTCGACACTTGTCATTGTCTGATTCCATCGTGTTGTAGTGGGTCGAAGCGCAAGACTGAAGAACCTAGCGCAGCCGATAGTCTCATGTTCCTCGATATTGATGGTATGGCGGAGGACTGATACTGGTCACACATTGTATTGTCTAGATTTCAGATCCAATGGTACTCATTTGATAGCATTGGACAAATTTTAACTGCCTGAAAATCATGTTCTGCTTGACGCAAATTCTGTTCTGATTGGCGAAAAGTGAGATCCAATTGTCGAAAATTCTCAAGGGACTAAAATAATGGATCGAATGTTCAAATCCATCGAATTCTCGCAGATTCACGCAAGTTGTATCATATTTCATCCGATTTGAGAAGAGCGTTTTTCCTGATGTTGCGAGACACTCCTCGAATCGGATCTGTTCACCCGCTCGAGATTCGCCAGCTGCAGCATTCTCAGCTCCGTCCCCTTTCCTTTGTAAAACTTGGCATTTGATATCGAGTGCTAGTGGCCCCGTTCCACATGCGGTTCCCTGTGGTTGATTGATGACAAGAGTACGTTTAAAAAGCTCAGTTTCTCGATCCTGGTCGAGGGTCGGCAATGTTTACCGAATCATCGTCAGAACGCCAGCTCGATGGCATAACCCTCCTGAGCTTAACACTTTTTACATCCATTTGCTACGGGACTGTACTGACCATCTACATCCAGTGCCTCCTTTCGTTGGTCTACAGTCCGATGCGGCGAGCTCCCGGATCACAACTGTTTTTCCTTGGCTATACATCCGTCATGTTCATTCTTGAAACGTTATATGCTGCTGCAAATTTTCGAAGAGTTTGGATAGCATTCGTTGTAAATTGGGGCTCCCCCATGAATTCAGCGAGTTACGAGATTGGTTTATGGAGTGATTGGGCCAGTACAGCAGCAATGGCGTGCTATATCATCTCCAATTGGTTGGCGGATGCGCTTACGGTAAGTCTTGATACTATCAATGTTATTTATGCTCATATAGATCCTTGACTCATACCTCATACCTCTCCTCAGCTTGTGCGCTGTATGATCTTGTTTCGAAACATGAAAAACACAAGATGGCTAATTCCTATCCCATGCAGCGTGTTCCTTGTTGTTATTGGTATCTACTACGATATAATGCGTTGCCTCCAAAGTTACTGACAATACATTGACAGTGACTTCTATCAGTCTGTTTGTGAATACAACAGAAGTGACCAAGTCAATGGAAGCAATGACCAAAGCCTACTGCATCTTTGTTGCAGTCGATCTCTCCTTTAATGTTATCACAACGTCATTGATAACCGCCTGCATCATGACGCACCGCACGAAGCTCAGGAAATCGTCAGGTAAGCAAGCTATGTTGTATCATTATCCTGACGTACATCCTTTGTCAGGAACTCATGACCATGGGAGGGAGTACATCAATATCATCGCGATGACCATTGAATCTTGTATGATTTCCGCGATTAGCCCGATCGTCTATCTCGTCCTCTACGCGATGAATAACTTTGTGCAGTATCCACTCATGGTCATCCAGAACCAAATGCAGGTGAGAGATAACACTACATTATCCCATCTGGATTTCATTTTCAGCATGCAGGTCATTGCCTTCTTTGTATTGGTCTTGAGAATCATTCAAGGAAAAACGTGGACAAGACGGGCAGATGTTGATATCACTTCTCATTCGCTTCCAAGTGAAGGG